CTTGTTGGACTCTTTTGTTTTCTTGTTGGACTCTTTTGTTTTCTTGTTGGAATCTCAGGAAAACAACTATATGTTTCCCTCTGGACCACACATTAAGTGTATATTGATATTGTAAGGAGAAACTACATGTTGATCACTTCTGAGATGATTCAAACTAAGAAGATCCCGTGTGTTATTTGATGAATCTCATAAGAAAATTGGAAACATTTTTCGTCCCATCTTAGGTCTGTTTTCTATTTTGATGATTTTTTTTTCTCAATAACCGTGCGAGTAAAACGTTATTACACCAGCTATTTCCATTTATGTTTGTTTTTCTGGGAAAGTCTCATTTTATTTAATTTTCTTAATTTTGTTTTCATTAGTCACGCTATCAGGCACCAATGTAAAAGGCATGTTCTGTTTCCAAAAGGTGAGCTGTTCGTTTTCTTTAATTTCTGCATTTTTATTGCTTCCTCGGTTTCATTTTTCATGAATGAAATTGACTTTACTATTTTACGAAACAAAAAAATTTGGAGAAATTGGTGTATGACTTACTGAAGTAACGCGTATGTAGTTGAATGAAATAGAAAGATTTTCCTTCGTCTGAGAAACAAAGCATCATGTAAGCGGTTGAAACGTTTGGTAGAATTTTTCGCAAATTAATGATGCGAGTTCCTAAGACTGACATGCCAGCTTGATCGCTATTGGACAAATGGTTAGAAATATCAACACAAATCTTGCACAAATATCCTCATCTGGGCTCAACTGAACAGTTCTATACTTCGTTTAATTGTACAATGTGATCTTTTTTGTTGGATTTATGTCCATCAAATTTTTCCACCACGCAACGAAACTAGATCTACGTCATACACAGGCGGCCCAAGCTCCAGCTGTGAGATGAACATCTTGCGCAAAACCTGTCAAGGCGGAATTATTAGACCGCTTCCTTTGATGAAAATAACCCATTTTAGCGAGTTCTCAATTTTGAGGTTTTTCTTATGTACGTATAAGACCTCGAAATGGACAAGTCGCTAAAATGGGTTCTTTTCATCAAAGTAAACGGTCAGATAACAAGTGATACGCTGTGGAAGTAAGTTGAGGTGGTTTTATTGAGAATTTGACGTATTTTTCAATTCCTTAGAGCGGTCGTAAATATTCCCATACAAACTCTTAAAATTGCGCCATGACCGTCTGTTATTGCGCAAGATGATCATCTCACAGCTGGAGCTTGGGGCTGCATGTGCGTCTCGTAGATGGATATCTCCAGATCGATTCAAGATATCTTGATTTGCCTCGATTTTAAAACAAATAACAATGGAAATTAGAGCTTAGTTAGTCCCTGGTTTTTGAAGGGCAGCAGAGTGAGGATCC